CTGAAGAACGAAACGCCTCACAGCAAAACGTTTTCACTTTGTAATATATATATATATATATATATATATATATATATATATATATAAGTTTCAAACACTAATATTCGATGGTTGTAATTTATTACACTGGAATCAAAATCACGATCCAATTCATCAGATCAACAAATTCAAAAAGACATATATTAAAATAATAAGAAAGAACAGTAAGATTTATAATCCTGTGTACTTATTAATTATTTTAATTTTAGAAAAACAGTGCTAAATACAAACTATAGTGCAAAACGTTATAATTATCTTCTTTTTAAGAATATGATTCCATCACAGAAAATCACAGAAAAAAGCAACACAGAAAATTCCCATGTTTCAAAACTGAACTTAAATTTATAAATTTAATTAAAAAAATTAAATTTAAAATCCATAAACTTGTTCCATTGTCAAACGATATTAGAATCTAAGAAATAATTATATTATGTGTTGTTAAGGTTACGGAAAACCTATTTTAATTTAGGGGTGGTTGAGTTTTAATTTCCCTAGAAAGCTGTCTTTTCTACAAATATTTTTTTATATACCGTACATATAAACACTAATGTGTATGTCCCAATACTTATAAATACGTTGGACACTATTATAAGTGGTGGTGAGGAACAATATGCTATCTAAGTAGTGCGCCACAAGCAGTGGTTTACCTACTTCACGCTGCTGGCGAGTATTGTATTTTATTGGTGTTGTAAAGATTACCCTTTCATTTTCAACCTTCATTTTTCGTTATTCCTCATTCAGTAACCTTTTCTAAGTTATAACAATAATGTGAAAAAGAATGATAGAATAAAAGAATGAAAGAAAGCAAAAATAAATATCAGGAGGAAAGAAAAATTGAAAGAAACGAGAAAAAGTAAATTTGGTATGGAATAAAGTGAAAAAGAAAAATTCCAAGAATGAAAATGAGAAAGAATGAGAAAAGAATAATAACATTTGAAAGAATGAAAGAAGAAAGAAAAAGAAATAGAGAACGAGTAATTATTTCAAAGAGAGTAATGTGAAAAGAATGATAGAATGAAAGTATAAAAGAAAGAAAAATAAATATCAGGCGGAAAGAACAGTAGAAAGAAAGAAAAAATCGAAAAATGAATGAGGAATGTGAGAATAAAAAAATATTAAGAAAGAAAATTTCTAAGAGCAAAATGGGAAAGAATAACAAAAGAAAAAGAAAGAAAAAGAAAGAAAAAGAAAGAAAAAGAAAAAAGAAAGAAAAAGAAAGAAAAACAAAGAACAGAGTAAAAAGAATGAAAAACTAAAAAGAAAAAAGAAAGAAAAAGAAATAAAAAGAAAAGAAAAAGAAAGAAAAAAGGAAAAAGAATGAAAAAAGAAAAAGAAAAAAGAACGAAAAAAGAAAGAAAAAGAAAGAAAAGAAAAAGAAAAAAGTAAAATGAATGAAAAAAGAAAAAAGAAAGAAAAAAAAAATTTCTAAGAGCAAAATGGGAAAGAATAACAGAAGATAACAATGTTTACCAGAAAGAAAAAGAAAGAAAGAAAAAGAAAAAAGAAAGAAAAAGAAAGAAAAAGAAAAAGAAGAAAAAAGTAAAAAGAATGAAAAACGAAAAAGAAAAAAGAAAGAAAAAGAAAAAAGAAAGAAAGTAAAAGAAAAGAAAAAGAAAGAAAAAAGAAATAAATAGAAAAGAAAAAGAAAGAAAAAAGTAAAAAGAATGAAAAACGAGAAAGAAAAAAGAAAGAAAAAGAAAAAAGAAAGAAAGAAAAAGAAAAGAAAGAAAAAAGAAATAAATAGAAAAGAAAAAGAAAGAAAAAAGTAAAAAGAATGAAAAACGAGAAAGAAAAAAGAAAGAAAAAGAAAAAAGAAAGAAAGAAAAAGAAAAGAAAAAGAAAGAAAAAAGGAAAAAGAATGAAAAAAGAAAAAGAAAAAAGAACGAAAAAAGAAAGAAAAAGAAAGAAAAGAAAAAGAAAAAAGTAAAATGAATGAAAAAAGAAAAAGAAAAAAGAAAGAAAAAAGAAAGAAAAAGAAAGAAAAGAAAAAAGTAAAAAGAATGAAAAAAGAAAAAGATAAAAGAAAAAAGAAAGAAAAAAGAAATATAGAAAAACGAAAAAAGAAAGAAAAAGAAAAAACAAAGAAAAACAAAGAAAAAGAAAAAAGAAAAAAAAGAAAAAGCAGGAAAAAGAAAAAGGAAGGCGTGAAAGAAAAAGAAAAAGAAAGAAAAAGAAAAAAGAAAGAAAAAGAAAGAAAAAAGAAAAATGAAAGAAAAAGGAAAAAAGAAAAAAGAAAGAAAAAGAAAAAGAAAAAAGAAAAATAAAAAAGAAAGAAAAAGAAAACATAACGACAAAGAAATAAAAAGAAAAAGGAAAAAGAAGGAAAAAAGAAAAATGAAGGCGTGAAAGAAAAAGAAAAAGAAAAAAGAAAGAAAAAGGAAAACCAAAGAAAAAAGAAAGAAAAAGAAAGCCAGTAAAAAATAAAGAAAGAGAAAGAAAAATACAGGGAAAAAGTGCACATGTAAATATATGTCATCTTTCTTTGAATCCATTCTTAAAGAATCTAACTTATATCTATCTAATACAAAAGCTACATGTTTAAAGAGTTCAGCCCTAAATTAGAACCATGTGACAGTCCGCTGCGCGGGTTGACCGCTCAAAAATGAAGACATTAGAACTCCCGCTAGACAGGCACGCATACACAATTACGAAGACGCATTACAATCCGATGCCCACTTAGACAAACATGAATCTTCACAAACTTACATAAACATAGAATTATCTACGGTTTTAATATACGTGACACGTGTCTGACCAATGAGAATTGATCCAAACATAATTGGGTCACGACTATTTCTGTTTTTCTGGGTCATAAGTATTTCTGTCTCTTTGTCTGTTTTCTCTCAATCTCTGGCAAGCTTTAATAAAAGTGAAATATGCTAGATTGATATACGTTTCTTATTTGTTGTTTATTTTATCATCCTGTTGGACTCCGATTCATATTTGATCTGCATTTAATCTTTAACTCATCTTCTATAGTATTTGTTTTTACGATTTCAAGCCACCTATTGTCTGCAAGAAAAAGAAAAAAAACATGATGATGACTTCATTTTATTAAAGATACACATAAAAGACGTTTTCCAGTATTCATTTGTTGTATAGCCCCGTGGTGGGGATGGTCTTGAGGCGACGGCGAACACTCGATAACAAACTTGCATTCTTCTCTCGCGGTTGGTGATCGCTAGTTAGTTTGGTTCGGAGATAATAAAAAAGACATCAGTTTTACTTAGCTATAATATTTACGCCGACATATGCATCTCTAACTATCTAGTGGGGGTCTCTCACCCCGCCTACTGGGGTGCAGTTTTCAGAGGCGAAAGGAATACGTCTACATTGTTCGGCATGTAAGAACTAATTCCCCGAAACCCATTTCTATATCTTTATCATTCCCACGCTCGTTCAGCCAATCAAAATTGACTTTCTTTACTTTGTCTTGTATCTGACCTCAAAGGTCAACCGCTGGAAGTCCGCGGAGAGATACACTTCTTTAAAAAAAAAAAAGTCTGCTAAACTATTATTTAACACATTTGCCTTTCTTGATAGATTTCAAAAGCGCCTACGCAGTCTTATGGGTGATGAATTATCCCCCATTGCTACAAGCACTTTCTCACAGGCGAAATGTCGCAAGCTTCTTAGCTACTCTATCGCTATTTCCATGGCAAGTGTTGAGGAGCTACATTTCTTGGTTCCAGTCGTCCAGGCCTTGATAGTTAACACTCGACATGCCATGTATACAGGGACGAATCATCCCCATTCCCTTTATATTCCATTAGTAAGGAGGAAGTTTCACGCGGACCGCTTCCACAAAAGAACTGCTACCTTGTAGAACAGACTCCCAGAAGAAGGTTTTCCCGATCACTAGATTCTTTAGCTCTGCAAGCCTATGTGTAACCGTTGTCTTTCCCGCACAACACCAGGAACTGCCCAGCTTGTGTGTTCTTATGCGGATACAACACAACATACCAACCCTCGACACTGAGTGGCTCTTGTACTTTGTATTGCATGAGCATTATTGAAAATAAAGCACAATAAAAGAAAATCCTGGCAAGGTTTATATGTGATAAGATTCAATAAGAGCAGGGATCAATCAGTCTAATAATTGTATTTGGATCTTAGATACCGTTGCTTTAGTAAGATCATTTTTAAGATCTCAAGCAGGACCATTTTAAGCAGAATGGTCCCCATCAGCTATGAGCAAAGCTACAAGAGATGTAGAATTATTTACTAATATTTCAGGATCTTTTTCGTTATTACCACACACATCAGCAATGAAAATTGAAACTGATCTCTCTCTCTCTCGCTCTCTCTCGCTCTCTCTCTCTGTATATATATATATATATATATATATATATATATATATATATATATATATATATATTCAAGTATATGATTGGTGTATACGGAATAAATTCCAATAACCAAAAAATACTATTCTTAAAAGAGTACTCAATACAGAGTAGAGCAAATTATAAAATAAATATTGTTATAAAATCACAACAAAATAGCCGTTTTGTTTCAACACTACTGGGGGCTTATATATATATATATATATATATATATATGTGTGTGTGTGTGTGTGTGTGTGTGTGTGTATGTTTAGGGCAATTGAAGAAAGAATTGTTTTGAAAGAGAGATAGTAAGAGATAATACATTGTGATTCTCATTTTTATTAATAGAATTTTTTTCGTTTTTCAAAACTTCTATAGAATTATTTTTGCAAATCATATCTTGATAAGACCCCAGAATCACTGAAACAAAATGGCTATTTTTGGTAGTGATTTTATAACATATGTATGTTATAATTTTCGAATAAATTATATGCATATCTATCTATCTATATATTAAGACATTTTTTATGTTTATACATTCTTTTTATCGGTACAGATATTTAAATAAATGCTCTGTTTATAATAAACAGTATTAATAACATTTACCGGCCTGAATGTCCGACAAATTTTCATAGAAAATATGCGTCCTCCGACAGGAATCGAACTTGTATTCTACACGGAACCGTCATATAGCTTTACATATTACATTCAGGCCGGTAAATGTTGTTTAAAACTGTTTATTATAAACAAAAATTTACTTAAATATTTGTATCTATAAAAGAATGTATAAACATAAAATGTCTTTTATATATATATATATATATATATATATATATATATATATATATATATATATATATATATATATATATGATCACTGTAAATAGATTATTGTTATATATATATTTAAAGATGTGTCCAGCTTTGGGACAATACGAACAATGCTTGCTCTCTTGCTCCCCACCGAAGGAAAAATCTAAGAATGCTGGAAAAAATAAAGAAAAAAATTAATTAATTACATTTTCCTTGTATGTCATATTCAATGAAACATGTTTAAAACAAAGGTTGCTGCCCAAATATACATTAATATATATATATATATATATATATATATATATATATATATATTTTAGAACAACTGACGAAAGAATTGTACAGAAGGAGATAGAAAGAGATGATACATTGTGAGGCTTATTTTTTAATAGAATTTGTTTCGTTTTTCAAAACTTCTATAGAATTATTTTTTGCAATTCATATCTTTAGAACTAATCTATTTTCAATGTTTTTTTCTGGTCCTGTTTTTTCTTTCCCCTTTCCCAGCCACCAACAGACAGGGCTCTCTCTCTCTCTCTCTCTCTCTCTCTCTCTCTCTCTCTCTGTATATGTATATAAATAAATATATATATATATATATATATATAAAAACACACACACACACACACATATATACATATATATATATATATATATATATATATATATATATATATATACGGATGTAAAAAACAAATTGAAAAATGAACGTCTTTCCCACGAAGGATCTCTCTGTCTCTCTCTCTCTGATTGTATATATATATATATATATATACAAACAAACATATAAATATATATATATATATATATATATATATATATATATATATATATATACATACAGACATCTCTCTTTCCATTTCTCTCTCTGACTGTATATATATATATATATATATATATATACATACAAATATATAAATATATATATATATATATATATATATATATATATATATATATATATATATATATATATATATATATATATATATATATATATACAAACATATATATATATATATATATATATATATATATATATTTGGATGTAAAACAAATTGAAAAATGAACGTCTTTCCCACGAAGGATCTCTCTCTCTCTCTCTCTCTCTCTCTCTTGCTCACACTTTTTTTAAGAACCTTTTAACCGAACAAAGTAAAAATTGTCATATTCCGAGAAATCTTAATAACAATGATAAAAATGGACAAACCTTGTTTTATTTCAGTGACATATACTTTCCCTCATTTTTTTATATTTACCATTAGGTATTCGTAATATTTTTTTTATTTTTATTTTTTTACTTTGAACTCTTTTTTTGCCACAAGTTTAGTTTTTAGGGCCTTTTTTTCCCATTTCCTAATTAAATTAGGTTTGGTAAATCTATTTCATATCGTTTGTAGATTCCTATCTCCAGACGTCTTTTTCCTCTTTTTGTTTTGTTTGGATGTCGATGATTACTCGTCTAACCTCGCCCATCGCTTTCAAATCAATCATCATCATCGCTTGTTCTTTTTACTTATTGTTTCCTCATCTCCTTTACTCAATCGTGTCACTATGAATAAAGTACACTTGATTTAGATCTTTTTTTACCATCTTGTACCTTTGCTGTATATCCCGAAAAGAAACCTATCCAATAATGAAATGGACAAATATCGTCGCTTTCTTTCTGTGTTAAGAAATTGCCACGATGGTTGTCGGTCTCTATCTAGACTGGCAGGCCGTCTAGATTTGAAAATTGGCGCAACACAATCTTCTTTGTCCTATTTTTTTTTTAATTTTGGAGTTGGACTGTAATCGACAATAAAGTTGTTTCGTTGTTGGTATAAGAGGCAAGTGTTCGAACAAGGGTAAAAACGATATGACTTTGAATGCTCGTTTTCATGGCTGTTAGGTGTTTACCATATCACAGATTGGCGCTATACATTCTTTCTTATCTTTATTTACCTATGTTTTGCAATGGGTTATACTAAAATTTGAAAGAATTTGTAGGAAAGTTTACTATGACTGACTCTTTTTTTAATGCCATGTCATTTTAAAATGTACAAGATAACCAAAAAAGTTCTGTCTTCACAGTATGTGTAACTTATATTTAGTCTTCGAAGTAATCGCCATCGGCATCCAGCACCTTCTTCCAACGTGTCTCCAGCTGTTCAATGCCTTTGCGGTAGAACTCGGGGGGGGGGGGTGACGCAAAGAACTCCGTGAGGGCTTTGCGCAAGTTTGCTTCATTGGTGAAGAATTTCCCACGAAGATGATTATCCAGGGAGTGGAAGAGGTGGTAATCGGATGGCGCAAGGTCAGGTGAATAAGGTGGATGGCA